AATATCAATAATATTTATAATAAAAAATGGATTTTTTTTATAGAATAATAGATATAATAAAATATAAATTTTTCTATTCTTTTCTTTATTCTATTTTTTTAGAGAATTTCCATTTGTTAAAATATTATCCTTGTCTTTGTTTATATCTTGGATTGAAACAAATTACTATAATTCGTCTTCGTTTTCGAATTAATCGACATTTTTAATAAATTTTAAGAACCAAGGCGTTTATTTTTCATATTTATCATTCCTTAATAAGTTAATCCCATATTTTGGAAGAGAATAAAGTTTCCTTATATATTTGAACTTAGAATTGTGGTATTTTCCATAAAATGAAAAGAATGTTGAGATTCAAAAACATCCTAATTCATTTGAATGACTTATCTTTTTTCTTTTTTTTTCTTATCGTATGCCCGGAAAAAATAATTGAATCGTTAAATATATATATATATATATATATATATATATATATATATATATATATATATATATATTAGGGGTAAAGTTCTATTATAAACTTTTTTTTTACTTTTTACATAAATAGAGTGGAAGTTTCACATATAATTCGGATATTAGGAAGATTATCATATATAACATAAAACTTCTCCTCCGATTTTTTTCTACTCGAGTCTCTCAATTTGTCATTATGCCTTTAGAAGTTGAAAAAATTACCATTCTCATGCCGCCTAAAATTCGAGGAATTCGTTAATAATTATAATATATTCGTAGACCTGGTGTACTTATTTGTTTTAAATTTAAAAAACTTTTATAGGATTCTTTTCTATTTCTTCTGTATCGTAGAGTTAAAACTAAAAAATAATTATCGTTTTTTTTATGTTTTCTGACGTTTTCAACAAAACAATCCTAAAAGTATTTTTTTACAGTCTTTTCTATAATATTAGTAAAAGGTAATTGAATAATTCTTTTCTTATTCATGTCAAGCATCTCGTATTATTTTGGCGATGCTTGCCTGTCTCCATGTTAAACAAAAAAATCTTGTTATCTCACTACTTTCTAATCAACATGCTCCAATTCTATTTTTTTATTTGATTTTTGTATTTCTTTTCTATCTATATCTATCTATAGATCTTTATAACTCATTATAGTTCATTAAGTTTGTTGAAATTTCTATTGTGACTAGCATTAAAAAAACAATTCAAAAAATCGAATAAAATAAGATATTCAACTTAATAAAGTATAAATTCTAGTATCATATTGTTTTCTTTATGTATAAATCACATTAATTACTATTTGTACATTGTGTTGTAAACAGACATGAACCTTTTATTTTTATTTGACCAAAAGACAAGGCTTCTTTTTGTATAGAAGTTCTCTTGTATAGAAGTTCTTCTTTTTTACAAGAATCAAATAAATGAAAGAAAATATTTTATTTATTTAATTCTTAATTAAATTCTTAATTGAAAAATAATTTAATTATTATTATGAATTATTTATTGAATTATAAAAGAAATGATTTGAATTTAATTTGACTAATAATTCAATTTTGTAATATTTATTTATGCATTACTATTTAAAAATTTATGTTAAGATGCACGTTAATGACGATATCTATTGTCATTTTTCGCATGTCTTCGAAAGTTTAGAGTAGGTGAAAATTCTTCATATTTATAACCTACCATACAATCTGTTATATAAATAGGTAAATATTCTTTTCCATTATGGATAACAATCTTATAACCAATCATTGTAGGTATAATGGTATGTGCTCTAGACAAGTTATTATTATATTTCTCCGCTTTTGTGTTAAGCTTATTTATTTTTTTTAATAAATGATTCGCTACAAAAGGATTTTTTAGTAAACGTGTCATAGTTAATTACTCCTTTTCTTGTAAGACGAAGAAACAATTTCTATTTTCTCTACTATGTTATTTAGTACGACGACGAAGAATCAAATTATCACTATATTTCTTCATTCTTCTACTTCTTCTTCCAAGTGCAGGAAAACCCAAAGGAGTTGCAGGTTTTTTTCTACCAATTGGGGCCCTCCCTTCACCACCCTCATGCGGGTGGTCTACAGGGTTCATAACTACTCTTCTTACTATAAGACGTTTGCCTAGCCAACATTTAGATCCTACTTTACCTAAATTTTTCTGGTTTACCCCAACATTTTCCACATATCCGACTGTTGCCAAGCAGTTTTTGGATATCAAACGGACCTCCCTAGAAGGTAATTCTAATGAGGCCGATTTTCCCTTTTTTGCAATTAGTTTCGCTACAACATCAGCTCCTCTAGCTAATTGTCCACCCTTTTCGAGTGTGATCTCTATGTTATGTATGATCGTGCCTAAGGGCATATCGGTTGAGGTAGATTATTCGATCAATCAAAACCTCTTCCCAAACCGTACAAACTTCTTACAAAATATACGGCTTTCTGGATGTAGCTGATGATATCTGTACAGATAGATCTTATATATATCGCACAATGAAGTACAACACGATTGGGTATATAGGAATCAAAATTTGCCGCTCATGTTATGATTTTCTACATCCTTGGTCTTCTCGTTCGTTCATCTGACTTATGTTCTTCATGTAGCATTCAGACTGAATGACTATATGAAATTACGTCGCTACTTCCAAATGGTAAGGATAACGTAAGAGACATCTCTCTTTTCTTCAGGGGGAATCCTTAGAATTACCATAGATTAACTTTTCATTCGCCTCTGACCATCAAATGAAATGTGAATAACCCGCCTTCCCTTGTTTAAAACAAAGGGTGCTTCCAGTTCTGTCAGTGCTTGAAACAATTTTGTCTTCTCCATATTACTATATCTCTAGAGTCAATAATTTGATATGAGGAACTACTGAACTCAATCACTTGCTACCATTACTCTTCAGTCTATGTCGAGGTCTATCTTATAGAGGTACTCTAATTGGATCAATGATCGATTTCTAGGTTTCGTCGTAAACCTAGTTGGTTACTTCAAATTACGTAAATCAATAGTTCAAACCACACTTAAAGGTAGGGCATTTCCCATTTTTGTAGGAACTTCTATACCAGAAACAATGGTATCTCCAATTATAGCCCCTTCGGGGTGTAAAATATATTTTTTCTCACCATGCCCGAAGTGTATGAAACAAATGGATGCATTTCGATTAGGATCATATTCTATGGTTACAATTCTACCATATATATTTTTTCCATTCCATCGAAAATCAATTTTACCGTATAGACGCTTATGACCTCCCCTCTATGCCATACGAAAATTATTCCTTCTGCATTACGACATTTACTATAATGATGTTGTCCATAAATTAAATGATTTCGTGGATTAAATTTTACTTGACTGACTCTAGATTTAAAAAAAAAAAAACTATTCCCACATTCAAGGTTTAGTCTTTGTTCATGTATATGGTTGATGATTCTTCAAGAACACTATATTAAAAAATATAAAATAAAAATTTATGAGTAATTTATTATTAATTATTATATTAGAAATCCTTTTAATAAATTTTTAAAAAATTATTTTTTTTCTTATTTTCCTCATTTACTGTAATTTACCATAAAATATCTACTATAAAAACTTATCATATGATTCTTTTAATAAAAAAATTACTTTAAATAATTAATAATTTATTTAAATATCTTAATAAATATTTTTTTATTAAAGGTACTTTTAATTCGAATTTAAAATTTGTAAATATTTTCAGTAGTGTTAAAAAAGCTGCTAATGTTTTGTACTAATATATATATATATATATATATATATATTTATTTATATGTAAATAAAGTAAATAATTAAATAAATTTTAATATTTGATAGTTATAAAAAATAATATTTATAACTAATTTAGTAATATATTTATCTTAAATTTTTTATTTTATTAAAGGGGTAGAAATAGTAAGAATAAAAAAATATATGGTCACTCTAGAAATACACAATAAAAGAGGGACTATAAACTAAATATAAACGATAAGTTAGTCTCGTCATCATCATCCACATTTTCTCTCAGAACCATCGCAGGATTCTCTCCCTCACACAATCAAAAACGAAGAAAGAAGACCACCATACCAGCTGCAACGTCGTTGTTCTCTGCAACTCTCAGTTTCTTCGTTTCCCTGGATCCTGTAATCTTTTCATCCTTTTAAATTCTCGAAATTAAGAAAAGGGGTTTCTATTTGTTAAAAAAATTGAATCTTTGTTTTGATTCAATGTACCCAGTTCGGAAATAGATGATTCTAGAATAATTGCGGCACAAGGAAGTGTGCAAGTTTTGTAAGTTCATATGCAATGCAATTTTTCGCTTTATTGTTACTTCGTTTGAGGAATTCTTCCTTAGATTTTGTTTGTTTTAGGTATTTTGGATTCCAACAGTCTTGGCAGTAAAAAAAAGTTTAGATTGAATTATTAAGTTCGTCGTGTAGAATATTGATAGGATTTGAATATGTGTCTAATCAACGAGTTTTGGTACAATTTTTTCAATTGGACTTTGGTTGTAAATTTATTTATTTAACAATGATCAAATCTTCGATTGGTTAAGGAAAAATGGTGGAGAAATAGGTTCGAGAGATTGTCAATGTTTTTTTTTTCTTTTCTTTGAACTGCAGCTTTTATTAAGACGAAGAGGCCAAAGGCCTTACATAATCGATAAGAAACCGTCATAACCTGTTATAACGTTGAGGAAAATCAACTGTTGAATGAATCCATTATCTGGAATTTTTTGTTTTTCTTAGACGAAATACTCTTGTTTTCACTCTATTTCTAACTTGTTTTCATTCACTCTAAACTATTCGGCTTTCTTACCAATCGCACCTGAAGGAATCACAAGTGGAAAGTTTTATTGAAATGTGTAGAATTAAATGTAAACAATGCCTGTACTGTGATTTCTTATAAAAAAATTTATTAATTGTTTCCTCAATCATTATTCTTAGGATATTGGTTAGGAAAACTGTTATTTGTTTAGAAAGTTTTACTTAAATAAAACCAAATGGTGATAATAATGCCTCTTTGTTTTTATGTTTTGGTAGGCTCTTGTTCTTTATGAATATGACACCAGTTTGCCCCTTTGTCAAAGCTGCCCGACCTGATGATAACAATGCCTCTAAAAAAACGGGCGAAAACTCTATGAAACATCAGGTTGAGTCTGAGAGTAAGGTGAAGAAAGAAGCTAATGATTCAGCTAGTGTCTCACCAAAGTGCCCTTTTGGATATGATCCACAATCTTTTAAGATTGGTCCTCTTAGCTGTACAGTGTGCCAGGCTCTTTTATTTGACACCAGCAAATGTGTGCCTTGTTCTCATGTTTTCTGCAAGTATGTACCGTGTCCCATGTTTATTTCTTTAATCTATGATGCATTGTATATTCTATTTTTGGCTCATATTCTTCTTGTCTGAAACTAGAGCATGCATTTCGCGCTTTAAAGACTGTCCATTATGTGGGGCTGATATTGTGAAGATTGAGCCTGATGCTAAGCTTCAAGGTGTAGTTGATCGCTTTATTGAAGGTCATGCTAGGATCAAAAGGTCTGTTAGTTCAGATAAAGGAGAAGAAGCAGCAGAGAGTAAACAGGTCATTTATGAGGATGTGTCTTTAGAAAGAGGTTCTTTCTTAGTGCAACAGGCCATGAGGGTATGCATGACCTTTTCAAATGTTAATTTTGGATCTTATTATATATGAATGATTAAATGGTGAAAGATCCTTGAAATTGTTTGTCCTTAATTTGATTGGCATTGTTGTTAATAACTTTTGATAGATCCTGAACTATTATATATGATTCGATGTGTTGGAAAATATATTTATCTGGAAGTGACAATGATGTCAATAGCTGTTGCTCTGCTGATGCTACTGCCTTTTATTTTAGTAAATTACAATTTAAACTTTGTTGAGTTTGTACTACCAATTGATAATGAGTATTTTTCCATATGCAATGCAAAAACAGGCATTCCGAGCTCAAAATTTAGAAAGTGCGAAATCAAGACTCAACCTCTGTGCACAAGACATTCGTGATCAGTTAGAAAAAGTTGGTAACACTTCAGAGTTATGTTCCCAGCTTGGAGCAGTGTTGGGTATGCTTGGTGACTGCTGGTATGTTTTCTTTCTTTCTACCCCCACCACCCACACATGATATTTATAGCAACTGATTAGTCAGTCTGTTACTCTTGTTTTCCTGTTTGTGCATATATCTATATTTTTTTAAGTATTCTCATCGCTGCAGTCCGTTCTCTTATATCTTTTAGATTTGGTCCTATAAAAAATAAATGAGAGCTAGAAGTACGAAGGAGAGAGTGTTAAGTGAGATATTATGGTGAATAAAATCCCTTAAAAACTGTTGTCTTTAACTGAACTACATGACTTTTTTATCCATGTAGCTGACCTCACAGCTGATAAGACTTTTGTTGTTGTTGTAGTAATTCTGGTGATATTTAGTTTTTGGTATTTAAGTTCATCTTGGGTGTTTGTGTTGACATTGAAAACTGGGAATTCAGAGGCAGAGGAGCTCCTACTTAGTAGTGGACAGATCGTGAATATATATATATATATATATATATATATATACACACACACATGTGGCATTCACCAAGGTCATGGTCAAAATTGGAACCAATATGATTTTTCTGTAAAAGAAACATATTCTTATAAATGTCACTAATGTTGATCTACATAACTTAGTCACTATTGTCTTCCTTTCATGATTTTAAGATTAATTATTAAACATGAAGTCATAATAACCAAGTACAAATCAAACCTATTATTAATGATAAATATATCTTAAATTTTGAGAAAATTTCAGTTTTGATTATTTATGTGCATTAGAAATTGTTTGCACTGTATTTGCTATCTTAGTAGGTGTTTTGGTTGGTGTCCAGTGTTAATTACTACAACCAGAAGTAGTTCTAAGTTGTTGTCGTTTTGGTAGTTTTTGTACTCCATCATGATTCTGGGTTATATACGGGGAAAAAATGTCCTTTAACTTATTATTGTATGGTTGCAAATTTGTATTTTAAAATTATTAGCTGGTTTAATACATTCAGAAAACTATTGCCTTTCTTTGTTTTATGGCAGCTTCTTTTAGGTGCTTAGCTAATAATCATTATTTTAGAGGGGTTTTGGAAGTTAACATTTAAAGAATTTGTATCTTTTTGTTGACACTTTTTTCCTGGCATTGGTATTTTGTTTTCTCATCCAGTTATCTTGTCTGATCTTATCTTCACTGTTTCTTCTCTGATAATATTTCTTATTGTATGACAAAATGACAAAAGAATATTGTTCTATGACATGTTCAATGGAGGCAGATTCTGACCTACATGTTAACATTGTTTTTCTGCAGCCGAGCAATGGGTGATGCCAGTTCTGCAGTTTCTTATTTTGAAGAAAGTGTTCAATTTCTGTCTAAGTTGCCAAAAGATGATTTGGAGGTCTTTTCATTTGACCTTGCTTTTCTAGACTACAGAGTCAAAAATCATAACATTGCAACATAATACCTTTTTTGTTTGCTTGTTGTCAATTTAATTTTTGAAATTTATTGTCCTACAGATCACTCATACACTTTCTGTTTCACTAAATAAAATTGGAGATCTTAAATATTATGATGGAGACCTTCAAGCTGCAAGATCTTACTATTTTAAATCTTTGGATGTTCGCCGAGATGTTGTCAAGCAGAATTCTGACGTTCCATCCCAGGTTGGATATTACTATCTGGATACATATGATTTAATTTTTTGATGCTATGTAATTTATCTTCATTCAAATCTCTTGCTTTTCTTTGGGCCTGGTGCAACCTTTGCTTTGTTGGTTTGTACATAAGGTGAACCAGCTAAGATGATTTATTTAAAGCTAGGAGAATCGTGCAAAAAATTAATGAAATTAAATCTTTCAGGAAAAATGCACCCTTCATGATACTTGTTTTACAGTTCTGCTTAGAGTTTTTTTATGAGTGTTGATACTTTGCAGTTTTATTTTGATTCTCTTCCTACACAACTAACCGCATAAAAGAAACAAGCACAAATCATTTTGATAATTAACTGGTCCACTTTTTTTTTTTAATACCTTTTTAGGTTCTAGATGTTGCTGTTTCTCTTGCAAAAGTTGCGGATGTGGACAGAAATCTAGGGGAGGAAAAGTTAGCTACTGATGGATTTCAAGAAGCCATAGATTTACTGGAATCACTAACGTTGAAGTCTGAAGCTAGTGGGCTTGAGCAACGGGTAAGATGTCTATATACAAAGAAGTAATATATACATATATAAGAAAGAGAGATACCAAGTGAGTGCACCATTTTTATTTGAGTGACTGAAGTAAATCTATACGAGTAGTTAATGATTAGAAGTTAAATAAAGATTATATGTTCACTTAGAAAGGTCGCAGGACTTTATGTTATAATTTTGAGCATTCATCGGAGATATAGGGCTTAAGATCTGCTTCTTCTCTCAAATTAAAAGTCTTCTTATTTATTTGTTAAAATCATCAACAACCATATCTGTGAACTTCTCAATATGGGACTACCCAATAAATATATAAGTCATCCTCCAAGACTTGAGACAAGTAATGTGGAATTTCTCAACACCCCCAACTTCTCTCCAAGATGTCTTTTAAGGGGGTGTTGAAAAGTTCAACTCTATCTGATATATCTATTGAGTAACTTAGTTTAATGGCACTCAATTTTAAGATGAAATCAATGTTATATATACACACAAATGGTTTTGCGTTATGCTGGATTAACTTATTAAATCCTGCAATTAATTTCACTGTACAGCGACAATCAGTCCTCGAGTTCCTTAGAAGCCAACTTCCAGATGAACAAGAACAAGCTGAGACAACAGTCTGAGATAGGTGCTCCACATGAAGAAAGGCAACATGAATTCAGATGCAATAAATATTTCTGTATGCCACGGGAAAATCTTGTAAAATAAGCTCAGCTTAACAAAGGCACTACTGTTGGAGGAAGAGGAGATTTCAGAGTAATGAATATTTCAGTCATTTCTGGCACCGCAGTACCTTCCTATATGCCAAAGATTCTCAGCTATCCTTTGTGTGCTTTCTTATGCACCACTCTTTTTTTGTTTCCACCTCTTTAGTTGCTTATATCTTGGTGCATACTGCTGACAGTTGTACTGGGCTCTTCCTTGCATCATTGTTACTAAATATCCTACTCTAATAAACTAGAAACCAAAAAGACTTGTACTATAGGTTGTGCATTTTGCGTTAGAACTTTGTGAATACATTCTATACCGTGAAAATTTATAGAATATTTTTCATTACCATATTTCTTGCACTTGATGGTGCCAAATACACTTTTTAAACATTGTCGCAAATGCATTTTAATTTCATGATTCCATGCATTCGATTTTTTACGCAAAAGTGGTAAAGACTCTTATTTATCAGGGTGGACTTGTTTGTATTTAATTCTCAGTCGTTTATCGAACATAATTGTCTTTACTTTGTGGGGGAGGGGAGAGTAGTAAAGTGAATTCATGGAACTGAACCAGGGTGAATTAACAATGAGTACTGAAAATGAAAAGTAACTTGATCAATTAATCTTGGTTATAATTAGAGGTGAACTCAATTAACTATGAGAAATGAAAATGAAAGTTGTACACCTTATGCATCTTGTAATTCTATTTGTCCTTCATCCAGTGCATCTTCTGATTCTTCTGTGTTTTTCCACATTTGCCATTTTTTATAACTTTATTTGTTACAATATATATGCTTCTAACTTTCTAACCTTTTTGTTTTCAATCAAACATTTTAAAAATAATGTCATTTTGTAGAGCAAGCGTGCGCGTGTCAATAATTTCAGACAATAAGATAAATCTAAGTTATTGTGGTTTGTTTTGCTCAAAGAATGATTTACATGCATTTGAGGCATACGATTTGTTTGTTTCATTTGTACCGTTGTTAAAGATGGGAACATTAATGCAGGTTTCAAAAAGACACATAAGATAGTTTTAAACTAATTTACTCGTGTGCATAAGATCTTTCACCGCATTCTCCCATTGATAACCTTGATCTGAGAGCTTCAAATTTTTTTTTTTTTTAATCTTTTATGGTTTTAAAATTTTTAATTTTGAAGAATAAAAAATAATTTCACTCGATAGGCAGATGACATTGCTCCAGGCATTGATGTTTTAGCTTCCATAATTTCTCAAAGTACTGATCAGGAAGTAGTGTTCTTACTAAGAAGAAATAATCTTAGATTGGCATAAAATCAGATACCTCTATGGCTTCCCCACATACGACACAGGTAATGAAGCAGCAGAAACACGCATTAAATCTGCTCCTAGTTAGATGGAATCCTTCAATGATCAAGTCAGCCTCAACGATAGGTTCCAAACCCACATCTCTTTTATTCTTGTATGGATTATCAACAACAACGTAAAAATAACATGAGGAAGCCTCTGATGAACAGCTCCAACAACTTTGCCAACCCCATGAAATAGGAGCCGGGTTAATTAATCCCCTCAACCATGTCTTATCTGTTGAACAGCTGGAACAAAACAACTTCCTATATGGCTATTCACAAAAACTCATGAGATCAATGTCCAAGACTAACTTCAGTTGCCCAATAAACACCAGAGGAGATCCTATCTCCAACATCATCTACCTATTCATCTCCATCAAGAGTAATGCTATGGAGCAAGCGTAATCAGAAAAACAGTTACCAACCAACATGAGATCTGGGGGATACGATTTCTAAGCTCAATTTTATGTTACAGATTCAGTACACAATAGAATAGAGGTATTGAGTTTGGTTACAGAAAAATTATCAATCAACAACAGAACGGGAACCTTTTTTTTGTATCAAACTATTAGTGTGTGTATTAAATTCCAAACTTGTAGCAAATTACTTACACTTCCATTTTCATCAACATAAAACGTCAGGCAACAACATATTCAAGGATGAAACAGAGATGTAATTCCTCAGGCACTTGTAGCATGTTCCCAATCTAAATTATAATTTCATCAAGACAATCTATGCAAGCAAGATTAAGTTAAGAAATCAACGTACATTATCGAAGAAAATATTCAATTGTGATAAGAGAATAGTATCAAAACCATCTACATCAAACAAATAGGCAACATGATGCAGTTTCTTGGTGTTTACAGCGATATTGTCTAATCAAAATTAGAGTTACATATCAATAATCTACTCAATAAAAATTTACATTAAACCATCAAAGTAATACTTCAGTTTTGATTGGATTAGAGTACCAAAGGCATAAAAAAATTGCTTTTAAGTTTCCAATCACACTAACTCAACCTTCATACATAGATTAATCATCAACCATCAAAGTCATCATCATCACTCTCATCACTGAAGTACCCGGCTTTCTTCTTTTTCTTCTTACTCTTCAAAGCCACAGCATCATCGTCGTCGCGGTTGCCCGTCAACAGCCTCTCGTCGGCGCCGTCATCCACGACGGACGCCCAATTGTCATCTTCGAACCGGGCAGCGGCTCCAACACCGTCAGAATCCTCCCCGCCATCGTCGTTGTCGTCGTCGCGGCGGTAAGGCCCACGGCGGGGGCGTTTGGGCTCGGGGCGCTGGCGGGGGCCGAGCTGGTTGCGCGGGCAGTCGTACGAGAGGTGTCCGTCGGCGCCGCACTCGAAGCAGCGGGCGTTGTCGCGGTAGACGCGCTTACGAATGAACTCGGGCGCGCGGCCGTTGTCGGCGGCGATGGAGGCGGTGAGGGTGCGTCCGTTGAGGACCTTGCGGTGCATCTGCGCAGCAGCGTTGCGCGCGTCGTGGCGGGAGACAAACTGGATGAAGGCGACGCCGCGGCTGAGGCGCGTGTGGCGGTCCTTGAGTACCGTGACGCGCGCGATGCGGCCGAAAGTGGAGAAAAGCGTGTGGAGATCGGAATTAGTTAGCGAGTAGTCGATGTTGGAAACATACAAAGTTGATTTGGAGGGTGCCAACGACGAGGATCCCTTGGTATTGGTTTTGGGATTTGGATTGGGATTGGATTGCGCATGATTAGGGTTTACACTGCTATAGCGGTAGTAGAATACGTCGTCGTCTTCATCGCTGTCGCTCTTTTTCTTCTTTTTCTCCTTCTCTTTCTCTTTAGACATATTGTTTCTTCTTCTTCCGCCTTAACTCCTTCTTTCTCAATTGTTATCTTCTCTTCTTCATCCTCATATATCATATAATTATATATTTTTAATAAATAATAGATAATTCGAATAGATATAAAATAAATCATGTTAACAAAAGAATATTCACATTTTATTCAAGATTATTGACTATGTTAATAATAAGTTTTTTAATGAAAAATCCATATTAATATAATATCTACTAAAAAAATAGCTTGAAATTTAATATAGAATGTTGCAAATTTTCAAATTAATATATTCATTTATTAACATTAATACCACATTTATAATTTACTCATTAATAATTTAGTCCAAAATATTTTATATTTAAAGTTTTTCAGATATATTATAAAATTGATCATTCTAAAAAAAATAGTATGTATTAATGAAATTTTTTATGAAAATATTCTTATTTTCTCTTAATTTCAATAAAAATATTTTAAAAATTTTAAGACATCAATATTTATTAAAAAATTAGAATAAATATGAGAATCTGATTATTTTTATTTACCTCTCAAAATGTAAATTTGAAACTGATTAATTAATTTTGTTTGCTCAAATATTATAAAATAGTCACATTTCATATGCTTAAATAATAAATAAAGTTTATATTTTCAACAAAAAAAATTGATATTATTATTTAAAAACAATCTTATTTTAAAGATAATAATTAAATCTAATAATTATTCTTAAGAAATATAAAGGATATAATTTAAGAACGGATATTTTTATTATATGAAGACAAAAATATTAAATAATTTTAGTATTATTAATCAATGTAAAAGTAGTTATAGTTAGATTTAGAGAAACAGTGTTTTCCTTGAAACTTGTTTTTAACACAGTTACACTGTGTCACAGGAGGTATGCACAGTAACTTTACTACATTAAAGCACGTGTTCCCCTGATGTGACAGAATATGACCTATTTTATAACCATTTTTCTCTGCACACTGTTTCGACTCAACTTAACTCAACTCTGAACACACTCCTCTCTCCATTGTACCCCCAAAACTCATTTCCCTGGTCCTTTTAACTTTCAGCCTCATCCAACTCCTTTGTCGTATCTTTCAATCTTCATCAATTATGCACCCAGCAAGGTATCTACAACAAATTATTCTTTCATGCAAAGTTTCTCTCTTTCTGTGTCTTTTGTTTTAAGGATCCTGTACTTGTCCAGTTCCTTTAACAGCAAACTGTTGGTAGTGTACTTTGAGTGAAAATTCTTACTTGTTCTCATTTTCTTTGTGGGTTTTATCTGCAATTAATTTTCCTGAGATCTTTTTAATTGCATGACCCTGTTTTGTTCTTCTGCAGAAAATGTTGAAACTTTTCAAGTTGGGTTTCGAAATGAATTAGTGACTTCGATAATTTTGTGGTGACTGGACTGAAGGGAAAGTGAAACAAAAAGTTGAGATGGATTTTGTTTGAGGGTGAAAAGGGTGAAGTTTGTGAACCAAAAAAAAAAAAGAGAGGAAATTTTTGGGCTAGTGAAGGTTGATTGAAAGGGGTTCTGTAATGGAAGGAGGGTTAGGGCAAAACTCAGTTCCTGTTCATGGTTCCATTGATAAGTCTAGGATCTTGGATGTTAAACCTCTGAAGAGTTTGATTCCTATTTTCTCCATGTCATCTCAAGCTCCAGCTCCTGGCCAGTATCCTTCTGGGTTTTCTCCATTTTTCCCCTTTGGTGCACCTCAGCAAGCTCCAACTGAAGGGACAGCAAGGGGTGCTGCCATACCTGCTCCAATAAGGGCATATAGGAGCCCACCACGAGCAGGAGATACTAGTTCAACAATGGAAGGGTTGAAAGATCAACATACTTCTGGGAAGAAAAAACGTGGATCACCGAAGTCAGGCAGCGCCAAATCATCTTTTGTTAAGACTAAGAAAAGTCAGGAGCCAATTGTTGATTTAGGTGCTTTAGTTGGTATTAGCCCTGCTCAAAAGGAGGATGGTAGCCGTGAAGTGGTTAATTTTGTGCTCATGGCGTTTGATGGGCTACGAAGAAGGCTCTGCCAACTTGAAGAGGCCAAGGAATTGAGCTTGGGTCCGATCAAGCGTCCAGATTTGAAAGCTTGCAATACTTTGATGAGCAAAGGAATCCGGACAAACATGAGGAAGAGAATAGGAACAGTTCCTGGGGTTGAGATTGGGGACATTTTCTTTTACCGAACGGAAATGTGTGTTGTGGGTATGCATGCTCCCTCCATGGGTGGAATTGATGCCTTGCATATTAGGGATGAGTTTGAGGAGGAAACTCTGGCTGTCAGCATTGTTTCATCAGGAGAATATGATGATGATGCCGAGGATATCGATGTTATAACTTATACTGGTCAGGGAGGGAACTTCTTAAAGAAAGACAAGCACGCCATTGACCAAAAACTTCAAAGGGGTAATCTTGCTTTGGATAGGAGTTCCCAGCAACACAATGCAATAAGAGTCATCCGAGGCATTAGGGATGTTGTGAATCCAAATGCAAAAATCTATGTCTACGATGGTCTGTATAAAATCCAGGATTCATGGATAGCAAAAGCAAAAGGTGGTGGGGATGTATTTAAGTATAAGTTGGTAAGAATGGCTGGACAGCCTAGTGCCTTTTCTGTTTGGAAATCAGTTCAGAAATGGAAATCTGGCTCTTCAAGGACTGGACTTATTCTTGCAGACATTTCCAATGGAGCTGAGAGTATTCCTGTATCACTTGTCAATGAGGTTAATAATGTTAAGGCGCCTACTTATTTCAATTATTTCCATTCTCTTAGGCATCCTAAATCATTCAGTTTGATGCAGCCTTCACATGGGTGCACCTGTACTAAAGCATGTGTCCCAGGTGATTTGAACTGCTCTTGCATTAGGAGAAATGAAGGTGACTTCCCATATACTGGTAATGCCATTCTGGTGAGCCGGATGCAATTGGTTCATGAATGTGGCCCCACATGCCACTGTTTTCCTAACTGCAAAAACCGAGTATCCCAAACCGGTTTAAAGCATCAAATGGAAGTGTTCAAAACAAAGGATAGAGGGTGGGGTCTTCGGTCGCTGGATCCTATTCGTGCTGGTACTTTCATCTGTGAATATGCAGGAGAAGTTGTTGACAGAGCCAAGGTAAGTCAGCTTTTGAGGGAAGGAAATGAGTATGTTTTCGACACAACCCGGATTTATTGTCAATTCAAGTGGAATTATGAGCCTAGGCTTTTGGAAGAAGTTGATCCTAATGACTCTAGTGAGGATTATGCCATGCCATATCCTTTAATCATAAATGGCAAGAATTTGGGAAACGTGGCTAGATTCATGAATCATAGTTGCTCCCCAAATGTTTTCTGGCAGCCTGTTGTATATGAAGAAAACAATCAATCGTACCTCCATGTTGCTTTTTTTGCACTCAGACACATTCCACCCATGACAGAGTTAACATATGATTACGGAGTTGCCCGATCTGACCGTGGTGAGGGTAGCAGTGCAGCCAAAGGTAGAAAGAAATGCTTATGCGGATCATCAAAATGCTGTGGTTCTTTTGGTTAACATTTGGTTAAAGTTGCTCAAGAACAACGTGGTACTGGCAATGCTTTCATGGCTAAGAAGGTTTCTAGAACTCTTTCATGTTTCAAAACTTCCCCTTATTTTGTTTCTTTCTCTTGCTATCCTAAATTTGGCATTAAGTAAGAATTTTATGGTTTCTCAACAAGTAATGTATGCGATATAGATTAGATCTGTTAGCTACCAATTTTACCAATGATGAATTCTAGAATAGAAACATTAAGCCGGAAGAGATGAAATGTAGTAATGTAAAAATTCATGCATCATGTTTCATTGTCAATTTTTGTTCCTCCTATTTTCTGCAAATATTGCATAAGAATTCATTCCAAGGTACAATTAATTCAACTTTTTATTCTGCTTCTCTGGGATCATTGGCAGGCATGCTAGCATTTGACTTCATAATGCTTTGAATTTTCTTCAGGTATATATAATAGATGTTGATTAAGAGTGTTATCTTTCTTTGTTAATCTATTTATTTGTGCATGTGTGTTTGTGCTTTGTTTGAAATTTTTTCATTTGTCTTCATCTCAAATTTTCAATTTTTGGTTTATGGAGCTTTTCAAGTTTTTATGGATGTGTAACTGAAGCTATGCTGGCAAATTACACTTGTTCTGAATTTTATCTATGGATCTTACATATTTTGTAGCAAATGATATTACACTTACATTATCTCACCCAGTAAAGCTAAATAGCTCATTGTTATTTCCATCTTTCTTATTTTTGTTTTAACAGAGGATGATCTTATGTTGAGAGCCAGATCCAGTTTAGGAGTTCAAGTTTAGGGGATGTATCATGTATGGTTCCTAATCAAGTGTAAGTGTGTTTTGACTATAAGTAATGTGACTCTCTGGAACTGGCTATTTTTGGATCCAGTTATATCATAAATTATGAGTTATGTGTAATATCAAAGTTGTTAATGGCCATGATGCACCAGAGAAGTATATAACTAGCCATGGATATATTGCAGTGTAAGTTATATATAGCTAAGAAGGTTAGAATTTTCTTCTGCATTTTTTATTGCAGAAATCATGGCATGGATCATGTTCTATGCTAATTGCATTGGTCTGAGATCATATTTCAGGGTCCTTTCACTTCAGCTGCACCCATCATGGTTCTTGATCCAGTGAACTTGCTTCTACATAGTGTTTATTAATTACTACTCATACCTTAATATATGATTTAGCAAAAGATTTATTCCCCAACGATGACAAAAGATTTATGGTTCTACTTTTCATAAAATATGATGAGCAAATTGAAAAAAAATAAAAATAAAATGAAGTTATATCACATTGATGTGTAAACTATTAGACTGGTTCAATTTAAAAATTAAGTAATTTTATCTTATTAAAATAACTATATATAAAGTTAAAATTAGTTTAATTTATGTAATTTAAATTAAAAATGTATATTTTCATTTTAAATATGATCAAAAGAATTTATTAATCCCACTAAAATCCTAAAAATTAGAATATGTTAAAATTTGGATCGTCTAGACCCATCACAATTTTTTTAATTTGTACTCTTTGTTTTTTTTTTTTACATTTTATATAATCCCATTTTTCTAATTTTTTTTATTCATTCTTTTTGTAGTTCTGTTAATATATAATTAAAAAACGTATATTAAATACCAAATTTATTATCAATAATGCATTTTTTTAAAAAACTGAGTTATAAATACACACTCTTGAATCATCCGCAAGAAAAAAAAAACACATTCGCAAGGAAAAAAAAAACACATTTGGGAAAAAAAAATAAAAATGAATCGAACGTGACGATAGAAGGTAAAATAGAAGCAGAGAAATGGCGCAAAAAAAACCCTAGAATTGCTAAGCATAATCTAAAGGGGCATAAATTTAATGTTTCTTGCATGAATCAACATGTCTAAAGAAGCTTTTGTTTGCGATGCAGAATGTGAAGAAGAAAATGATGATGATGAAGAGAGGAGACATAGTGTGGGTCAGACTCCACGTGGCTCACAAATGGCTTCCCGCATTCGTTCTCTCTTCAGACAACCTCGGCGTCAATGTCACCTTCTCCTTCCCCCCAAACGACGCCGTTTCCCCCTCCTACTTCCTCCACTCCCAGCTTCTCCCCTTCGAGGACGCTTTCCCCTCTGTCGCTTCGCGCCACCACCTCGTTGATATGCCGCTGCTTCACTCCGCGCTCCGCTTCTTGGGCCAGACGCTCGTTTCCGGGCTGCGCTGTCGCTGTCTGACTGACCGGGCCCAACGGCCTTTTAACGGGCTGGGCTCTTCTTCCGGGTTTGACCCGGCTGGGGTTTTGGGCTTTGTTTTGGACGCTGCCGTTTCGCCGTGGGTCGAAGTCCCCTGTTTTGCCCGTGCTGTTAGAGTCGTTGCTCAGGTTCACGCTTTTCGGAGCTATTCTTCTATCAAGCACAAGAAATTGTACCAACAAACTAAAATCGCAGGTAATTTTGAAGTTTTTTTATTTTAACTCCTGTTTATTGATGTTAATCTATGAAAGTGGGTCTATTGATGTTGTTTGTGAATTGAAATGGAAGTATTGTAATATGTATACACTTTCACGAGTTACAGTTTACCATTTTCTTGACAGAACTAAGCTGCTAGCTAGTCCCATATGATGAATACCATGCTGGATTTTGAAACTTCTGTTGAGATAACTATGTTGGTTTTCCAGTGTTATTTCTGACTTTAGTATACATTGTACAGAACTACAGAGGCTATGCACTGATTTTATCTCTGACATTTTATAAAAAAAAATTTTCAATATGTTTTTAATAGGTGATAAGGTGAAGCTGATTTCAAGTTCAATTTTGGGTCAGAAGAAGCATTTAGTTACTCAAGAATCTATTTTTTTGGAACCCGTTGAAAAATGTCAGATCATATCCATAAACGAAGAGTCAAACAAAGCTATTGGTGCTGTAAAGAGATTGAACTTAATGGTTCCAGTTTGGGAAGGAAATTCTGCACACTTGTTTAAGAATAAACAACTGATTATTTCAGAGAGTTTTATGGACTGTCCATCTTTAGATCCACTTTACATGGTGCTAGAAAGCTTAAAATCTTCAAGGCAGAGCCTTCTGGGATTCAAAAACATATCAGACCTGGGCTTAGTTGATTTTTGCTTTGTAAACTTTTCTACTATGAGTAAAACTCACATCTTAGTTCCTTCCGATTTAATGATTCATTTGAGAAACTATATTGATCAAAGAGAAGACAATGTCGTGGAGCTTTGCTGGAGATTGCCTGACAAAGAAACCATTGACCTTAACAGGAAAAGAAGGCGACTAGATAAATCAGCTTCATATCTTCAAATTAGTGGAGTTGAAGAAAGTGAAAGGGATGCATATATTCCGAAACGTACCAGACCTAGGATCTCACACATTAAGATGCTTGAACCAGAAGGAAGTATCCAGAAAGATAATCAGGCCTCAACATACGTTTGTGAAACTAGTATGAACTTCACTGACAAGGTTCAGAAAGTGTATTCGAAAAGAAGTCAAAACTGTGAATCGTTGTCTAACTCAGTGTTTGTCTTCCATTCTGATAAGGTTGATGCTAGTGCAGCAAAAATTGAAGGTATGTTAGGATCTGACTCATCTGTTTACCAAGAAAGTCTGCAAATGATTTGCAGTAGTGTTGCAACAACTCCCAGGTCAAAGAAGTCTACAAGAACGGAATTATTATCAGAGGGTTGTTTGGTGGAGCGTAAGGATCGCATTCAAGGTGTTGCTTCTTGTTCGATATTCAATTCAAAAGTTGAACAGTTATCAGGAACGCATGTCCCCGCTTCTAAATCTCTTTACATGAAGTTCCCGAAGAATTTCTACCTTCCGTCCAATGAAAAGCTAGTAAAGAAGTTTAGTGTATTTGGCTCAGTAGATTCCTCCAGAACAAGAGTGTTTTGCTACGCTGGCTCGGCTCAGGTGGTTTTTCTACAAGAAGCTGATGCAGTTGTTGCATATAAGTATGCCAAAAGGAAGGCACTGTTTGGTAAGGCTCCAGTCCACTTTTGGCTTGACCCTTCTGAGCATAAAAGAAGAGGATTCAGGTGTTCTCCTCACGTGCCCCCATCAGCTAGTAAACCAACAGGACCACCACTGAAATCATGTCTGAAAAATTCCAATACCTCGACAAAGGAACACAGAAAGAAAAAACGCAGAGTAAGATTCACAATTGAAACTTAGTTGACATGAATTTACTGAATGAAAAATCACAATAGAAACTTAGTTGACATGAGTTTATGAATGAAAATGTCTTGCCGTATTTAACTAACTTCTTTTGAATATTTTTCTTAATTAGTTTATCTTTGTTCCTTCTTTCAACACGGCATTTCCTCATGCAAGCGATGAAAAAGAGAAAAAAAAAAAAAGAAAGAAGCAAACTGGTAGCATATACATGCAAGGAGAAAATGTTAAATTGGTAAAATCGAAGATCTTTAAGTTGAATCATTGAAATTATCTGTTGTGATGTCTTATCTAATCAAGTTTATAATTCATTAAGTTAGGGTCACAAATTAATGAGCCTTGTTAGAGTTGAAAATGCTGATATAATTATTAAAGGTTATACAAGAATTTTTACATGTTTGTTTTGGAGTTTTTTTTTACTTATTTGACTTAATTCTCACCCTAATAATAATTTTGTGTAAAATTTGATTAGTATAAATTTAATAGTTGGAATTAGGGCTGTCAAAACGGGTAGTTCCTGACCTGGCGTGAACTTACGGGCCAGGAAAAAAAATCTAAATTTTGCTTAATGTTACATCGATGGACTATTTTTTATTTAATTAAAAATATTTTTTATTTATATATTTTTTTAATTTTATTTGAAAAAAAGATATGTTATTTATTCGATTACTTAAAATTAATTCATAATTTTTTTAAGTGAAATAAAATAAATATATTTTATATCAGAAAATAAATATATTTTATTAGAAATATTAGATAATATTTTTTTTCTAGTTAAATATATGTTCTAAATTTTTGTAATCAAAGTATTTTTAGTGATTGATTTAAAGTATTTACCAAAAATATTATATAAAACATTTTTTAGTTTTTTTTTAAATACATCTTATAAATATATGTAATTAAAATATTTTTAGTAATTGATTTAAAATTAGGATTTAAAGTTTTATTTACCTTTTAAAAAATGAAGTCAAATTCTCATTATTTCACCAAATTAACCTTGTTATCTAACCAAACTTTAACATCACAGTATTTTGGAAATACACTTTATTTTAGAATATTATCTTAAATGATTGATCCTTAAAAATAAATACGACAATAACAAAAAAGAAACAAAATGACAAATCATGGTATTTTGAAAATAGACTTTATTTAAGAATATTATCTTAAATGATTGATCCTTAAAAACAAATATGACAATAATAAGAAAGAAACAAAATGACAAAAACAAATAAAAATTATATTCAGAGTTTATTATTCTTTTTAAATTATATATATAGCAAAATATATTATCAAATTAATTTATTATACATATATTTTTTAATAAAATAATATTACTTTTATTATATTAGTAAAATTATTATTATTTTATAAAAGGTTCAGATCTATAAGTTTATGGGCTAGTTTGACCTAAGTTCATTTAAGCCTAATCTAAATAGATCAGGTCAAATTTTGTCCGGTTTTGTTTAGGTTTTAAATTTTTTGGTTTAATCTAAGCTATTTTTTTAATATTTTAGACTGACTCATGGTTAAGTTTATTTTGACTCTAGTTAGAATATAATTAAACATCTTATACTATTTGTAAACATTGATGATCAATAAAAAGAAATTGATTAAATGGTTTTTATTTTCTTGGGATATAAAATCAAATATTACATTGAATTTGATGGAAATAAAATAGCTGTTAAAATTTATGGATTAATATAAATTTCTTATTATCAAATAAGATAAAAATATTTAGAAATGAGTTTCCTAATAAAATTAGGGTTAAATATATTTTTGTTATTCCTTTAACTTATAAAAAAATATAATTTAAGATTTTTCCTTAAATTTAATATTTAATAATATTTTTAGTATTATAAATTTGATAAAAAAGATTACATTTATTTTCTTAGTTTGAGGATTAATTAATTAATTTTTAGATGTGAGAATTAAAATCAAATTTAACGAAAAATATAAAGATAAAAAATATATATAACCAATAAAATTGTATAAAGCTTTTAATTGAACTTCTATATTTTATATAAAATATATGTTTATTGAGACAGTCTTTAATTATTTTGTTCGGTATGTTTACGAATTTAGTAAAATATATGTGTTTTTTAATTTATTAAAATATATTTTAAAAACAAAATCATAATAGACTAATATTTTAAAATAGATAATACATGCAATAATGAATTCTAACGTTACTATCGTATCAAAACCGTCTTTTCTATAGGATATGGATATTGTACATATATTTTTTCATTATATATAAAAATTAAAGTTAAAAAAAAAATATAAAGTCTAACACTATCTTATTCTATTTTTAATCATTGGAATCTATAAACGAGTCTTCTTGTTTTTAAACGAGTCTAACAATAGCTTATTTAATTACAATTTTATTAAGATAGTTTCTAAAATTTATTTTTCAATTTTTATTTATAATATGTGCATTTTAATATCACATTAATTATAAACAATGAAATTGTTAAAATTATATTTCAAATTTTATTATAAATTTATCTTTTAGAGGATATCATTTTTTTTTCATTTAATATAGTTTTTAAATTAAAATTATTAAATATTTTTTAGCTCATTTTTAAAATTAATTACTTAAAAAAATTAAAACTAAAAAATAAAACTATATCAATCAAACAGTAATCCATTTATAATTTTAGACATTTTCCCCCCTTGAATTGAGTTATTGAAAATACTAATAAAATAAATTACAATCGTACAGGAAATATTGAACTATACAATTAAAAAATTATTAAATATCAATCAATTTAGAACAACAAAAATCATTATATTAATTAAACTAGAAACTATTTTAGATAAATTAGTTTTTAGTAATCTAAATTTGTCTCTAATTTTATCTAACAACATTTTTAACTATTAAAAATGAACATATCTTAATAGAAAGCTAAAAAAGTAAAATAAAATGATAGATCTTCTAAATGAAAAAGTGATAGATATAGTCACTTGACAACAATAATGACATAAAGCACTTGATATGATGCCTAAAATCTCAATCATAGTTGTTGAAACTTTCAAGATGCAAATGCACTGCACACACACACACACAATCATCCATCACCAGTTCATCATCTACAGGCCTTAACATCTCAAAAATCAATCAATACAATTTATCCCTAATTGCTTCACCCTTCATACTATATTTATTAACATTGCTGTAACTGCTCTGATGGTGTTTTACTCTTTACACTCAAGAATGGTTTGAACATCAACAGAACCGCAAGTCCTTCAACAACATTCAGGGCGAGGAACACTATATGGTTGCCTGTAGTCATATGTAGCAAGTGAGTTTGTAGCAATCTAGCTAGCAAAACAAAAACAGGTTCCTTCTAAAACCTGCATTTTCATTCTTTAGTTGGCTTCTAAGAAAATTACATATTACTTTCCTTTTTGTTAAGGAAGAATAAGTGAACCAAAAATAGCACTTAGATTTAGGGATTTCAATATTCAACATATGAAACAAAAACCAGTTCAAATACACTAGCTAAGAAACAAACCTGGCAGAAAAGAACCATTTATATGCTTTTGCGACAAAGATAATCTGCATTGGCCAAGAGCAAAATTAGAAATCTAGATAAAAATTTTAGTATTCAATTGTAGATAAAAGGTGTTGTTGATGAATGTTACATAAGAACGTAACATGGATTTTCATATGCAAGAGAATTAAGATTTATCTACATAACTACTTGGTACAATGGATAAATTTCAAATGCTAAATAAATGAAATGGACACTCACAAGGCACCAGCACTAGCAGGACCAATTGTTTTAAATGCTGACATACCAGTCATGGCAATGCTATTAGCTGTCCCTCTTTGATGTTGGTCCTGTTTTCCAAATCAAAATAGCATATGGTCCACAACTCTGGAAAAAATAATCTTCTTGAAAACAAATGAAAGAAAAGGAACCAAAGATTTACCACAGCTTTATTCTGCAGAACGAATAAGCTAGTTGCAATTGTCTCCTAAATCAAACAACAATAATGCATTAGGGAAGTTTACAATGAAATGACCTTCTTTTGTGATTAAAATGATTTCTTGAGGTTTAGTGAAGCCAATGCAATTCATTTACATCCTCAATATCACTTTTAATTGGCTAGACAAATAGAGTTGCACTTACGATCATTAAATTCTTGAGGATGGAGACAATATTGATCACTAGGTCTAGTGTGAAGCCTGACAACATAGTCATGAAAGGATAACATTGCAAGAGAGGTATGGATAAAACCTGCATAAAAAGTCAAATAACAATACATAAAATAATCAAACAATGGTAAATCAAATTAGTTCACACACAAGGTGGAAACTAACCCCTGTGATCTTTACTAGAGTGAGAGGTCCAAAAGCTTTTTCCACTGATCGATAAAGGGTAAGCTGGTAGATTATAATAGCAACACCTAATCATGTTAAAAGATATTAGTAATTTAGCAACAAATGTGCTAAGTACTACACAAGGAATACACTACATATGTTTGTTCCTATGCAAATTAAAAGGAAAAGTTTAATACAGTTTAAAACTATTTTGTATTTAGAGATATATACATGTATATGCGAAAAACAATGTACCTGAAATTGCTAGAACAATACCAACATGATCACTTGAAAAGTTCAAACCACCCAATCTAACAGGACTGAGAGCCCACAATGAGAAAACCTAGGGCAGTGATATGAATAGAAGATGAGCAGAATCATGAGAGAAAGTGGAAATAGTAAAATCCATTAGTGGGAATACTACCTCTTGATAAGCAACATCATGTAGTGAAAAAACACAGTAAACAATTATGGATGAGATTAAGGGCCAATTTTGAAAGATGCTTTCATCTTTCTGGATCATCTTATCTTTGTCTTCCCCACAACTTTGTATTTCCAAAGCTTCAACATTTATGGTGGACTCAATGCTATCATTGTGTTTGTGAAGGGTCTCCTGCAATGATGCAAATATTTTAGAACAATAATATATGTATAACAGAACAAGAGAAATAATATATAAAAATCAAAACAAGTCAATTTCTAAGAAATAAAATATTAAGTAATATGTGATTGATGATGTTATAAAGCATGATTTAGAATACGTACCGGGAGCCAAATGCAAGCAATTGCTGATACAAACGCAAAAGCTGATATTATGAAGCACGGCAAGAAGTATGGAAACCTGCAGAGAAATTCATGTTTTTGACAATGAAACTCACCACAAAACCAAAGCAAAACAAAAAAGATAGAGAGAAACAAAATTGAAACATTGAATATTTTTTTCACACTTGGAAAACAAGAAAAATAAACATACCTATCCCAAAAGGATTCCTTTGGAAATACATGTGGGTATTTCAACACTGGCTGTAATGATATATTAAAAGAGAGAGAGAACAAGTGAGTGAAGGATTTTTTTTATGGATATTAGTTTGTATTTTTTAAAAATTATTTTATTTTTTATGGTTGCTTCTAAAAAACAAAAAAATATTTTTTTCTTCTGTTATAAGTTTATTCATGTTAAAAATTATAATAAATAATACTTTTATTTGAAAAACAAATAATTAATCAAACACAACCTATATGTGCAAATTGAATTTCAGACACCAACATATTCTCGGAAATTGCTGGATTAATTAAGTTCATCTCTCTCAAGTCACTTTATGTCAATGTTCAAAATCCATGGCTTTTAGAAACAAATAAATGACAAAAAAAATATAATCAATAATAATAAAATTAAAGAAACTATGAAAATTCAGTCTTTTATTACTTTAATACAAAATTAAAAAAAGGTTGTTTAACTTAATATTTTCAGTATAATAAGAAATTAAACTTAGGAATATAGACTTATTTTACTTTGGACATTTTCAATAATTAATGTAACAATGTTTCACTCTTTGCATACCAAAACATTAAATAATAATAATAATAATTACCTGAGCCAAATAACCTCCCAATGCTGGACCTATGACTAAACCTACTCCCCAAGCGGCAACCACCTGAAATCAGATTACACTCAATAATTACAATTTAAATATTGGCACATGCTTTCTTAAAAACATTCTTAAAAGAAGGTTTTTGAGGTTTAATTAATTACTGTTGAGAGTCCTAGAGCTTGGTCCTCTTCTCTGCAAATTTCAGTGGCATAAGCCTGTTCATAGAAAATGTTACATAAACACACCCACATGAAAATTACACATTCTGCAATTTTCCATATATATGAAAAGTTATATAAATGGAATCTACAGAAAACAACACCTTTATTGGTCCAAGTAAACCATTTAAACTTCCAAGAAGAAATCTCATGCTAATAGCCATCCAAAAACTGGTGCTAAGACCGAATAATGTGTTGAAAATGACACTGAAATCAAGCAAGGATCGTGAGAAAACATATATAATTGTATGGCCACAGCATATGAAAGAAACCATCCACCTCAGTGAAATGTATACTTACACAGCGATAATCCCAATAATGATAACAGGTTTTCTACCATAGCGATCAGAAATCATACCCCACAATATGGATGTCAAAGCCCTACCAAGCATCATTGATGATCCTACAACATGATCATCATTAAGAATTTTATTTGAAAATAATGCAGACAAGACACCAAATAATTCAAAGACAAACAAACATCTTACCCACATAACCAGCATAGGTACTTATATCTTCTTCTGTATCTGCAATATTAAAATCTTTCACCTGAAATTATACATTTATTGTTGATTGAGGATGTATATAACATGCAAAAGGTAATCATCCTATGACTTCCCAACAGTAACTCATTATGATTGCAACAGGCGAACTAGTTTTAGTTGTTAGTTGTGTGTAACTAATTATAATAGTTAAGATTTGCAGATTAAAAACAAAAGTAATACTTGGTAGAAATTTGAACCCACCATGAAATAAACGAAGGGATAAAGTGATGCTACAGGCAACGCTGTGCTTGATTAAAAGAGACAAAGATATCAGTGAGAAATATAATCAGTCCATTTTTTAACTAAGAACACAATTTCAGATGTTCAAGAGAAAGATGAAACCATGTCATAGAGTTCAACTAGCCACCACTTTTTTTTAGATTATTTTCTCATCTCAACATGGAATACAACTTGAAAAACATAAACTAGAGTTTAAACTTTGGATGAAAAGTCTTTCACTTATTGCTCTATGCATGAATCAAAGTGGGGAGTAATGTTGAGTTTTGGCAATTTTTCCATGGCAAAGCTTAAAAATGGTAGACTACAAAACTCAGCACTCAAAAAGAAAACCAACCCAGAAGAGAATTTGGGAAGAGAATTCAAGTGCTTACTGCCACACAACACAGCCAACCATATAAAAGAAAGATTTATGAAGGAAGCATCATTTTTCAGCTCCTTGGCTTGATCCACCTTACAACCAGGACAGTTCTCATAGTATCTTTTCTTCAACAATAATGGACTTTCTACCCTCTCTTCTTCCATCTTTCTAAGACAACCTCACTTCTTCTTTCACACAGTTCACTCTTACCACCACAAATACCGTGTTTATTATGCAAACAACACTGTCCTTATGCCAATGATTTACAGGGTAAGAGTTAAAGTCAATCACTCATTTTTCTCCAGACAGGTTCGAGATTTCAGTAAATTACGCTAACACAGATTCGTCAATTTCCCTCCATCATCTCTATCAGTTTTTTACCTTACCCTACCACTTTTATATATTATTTTTCAGGCATATAAATCTCATATGAGTTCACATGAAGTGTAGTCTTTTACATATATATTACTATTCTCTGGTCTTTTTCTATGTCCAATCATGTCCTCACATGAGTTACTATTTCTATAAATAAGCCTCTGTTACTTTCCCACGTGTTACATCAACAATTCATTTAGGCAAAAGACAAAGCTACTGGGTTGTCGCTGCGCATCATGTTTTACTTTACTAAAATCAGAGACAAAATAATAAAATATATGAAAGAAGTATTTGGCTCCATTCCATCAATAATGAACTTAAAAGCATAATCTAATCATGATATACACTACTTTCAAGGCATCAGTAAGTTATAACCTACTGATGTGGCTACAGAAAATTGGAAAAAGTTAATACGATTTCTTGTAAAATAATCTTTAGAACTTAACTTTCAGTCAATGTAAAATTTGCTATTTTGTAAAAAATAATTATATATAATACTCTTGACATTTTTTTTAATGTCATACTAAATTTATTTATAGGTTAGAAAAATAATATTTTAAAAAAGAAACGTCATTAAGGTATAAAAGTTTTTTGGTGTACCTTAGTTGTTGTAAAACTAAACACAGCTTATAATAGAATGAAAAATATATGATTAAGATAATGTAAAAAACCAAAACATTATTTATACATATATTGATTATATTCTTATTTATTATTAAATAAAGTGCTATATGTTAACATTTATTAATAGTAAAGGAATTCTCTCCGGTTGTAAAATACTAAAGAATATATAATAGATGATATTTTTATATCAGTAGTAATAAATAATATGAATTGAAGATTATAAATTAAGTTCAGAAAGAGTATTTAAGTTATACAAATTGACCTAAGAATATTGCAGATAACAATCATTCATATCCTGATATAACATGTTGCAGATAACCAATTAATTTTACTGAAATTCGTAGAAATCCAATTTTGCAAGTCCCCTCCTCTTCTCCCATTCAAAGGATTTGTCTCTCCCCCACTAACTTAATGATTCGTATTTTCCTAGCTTATCGGATAAATTTTGTTAAATAAAAATATTTGAATGTGGAATCTTACATTTGTGTCAGGTCAGTTTTAAAAATGATTGTATTTTGAGAAAAGAAGGTCAGAAGTTTATATACGCATGATATATGTTCACCGAAAAAAGTTCCACATCGAACAATACTAAAAATTTGTAAATGTTTATAAATTCCAAGTCAACCCAAAATAATAATTGGATCATGAGGTTATGTGAATGGGCTCATGCATATTGCTGGGCTCAGGAAAGTCCCCGGGCCTGATCCGTAGAAATGCGGACCCTTAAAGGGTGTACCTTTGACCTTTAGGACTTGTCTTTGGTCTTCGGACTGAAGGGGCTGAGACACGTGTGGAGCCTAGTCTTGTCCGGTCGAAGAATTTGGCCGATGCCACAGTCATTCACATGGTCTTCTCGACTAACTGAACGGGGCTTATGCCCTTGTGATCCAGTTAATTTTTCTGGATAGCAACTATTTTAAATATTTTTTTATTATTTCTAATATAAGGTACTTATGTTATGACATTATTTTACTTTTAAATTAAATGAATTATTACTATTTAAAATATATTTTTAGTTTTTTATGTATGGAAATATTTCATAAAATTTGAATTTTGGTGTTATAGACATTATACTTAGTCTTACAACAAACATATCATCAACTTCCTTATTGATATCAAAACCTTTGGAGTTGGAAAACGAAAAGTAATTTGTTGCTGACCACCGTTGTGACTCTGCTGGAGATTCAGAATGAATCTCCACATCACCATGTAAAACATATATTATTTCAATAATAATTTATATAATAGACTATTATTACAATTATAATAAATTTTTCAATAAAATTTCTTAAAAAAGTATTTCAGATAATTAATTTCATTTAGACGCAACAACAAAATAATCAACTTCTACATAAAAACAAAAGGGAAAGTGTTTGAGTAAAATTAATTTAAAACGTGAGAGTAATCATGAAGTCTTTGTGCAAAATAAAAAGTTTCATAGCCTTGACTTTTTTATTTACATTGTGGATTCTAGCTCTTGTTATGTAGAATGTGAATTGGCTAAGTCAAAAGCGTGAGTAAGGTGTCTTCCTTTCAAGAGCATGCTAGTTTAATAAAGGCCATTTTTTTTATTAAATTATACTTAGTAAAGATATCTTTATAAACAAAATCAGAAGACAATAAAATATATTAGAGGACAATATTTAACGAACCATATTAATTATATTATTATTATTATAATAAATAATCATGAAAATAATTAACAGATCAAACATAAGTTAATATATTAAAAACTTATATATTTATAAATCTAAACTTATTGGTACTAATATAAAGTGTTCTGAGTCTCTATAATGATGAGATCACTAAAGTAATGGTTTGTACCTGTAATGCATAGTTTAATGGATCGGTGTGGTGGCTGAATTGGCACAAACAAATCATGGTTTGATTAAATTAACTCGTTAAATTTGTGGGTTAACAGTGAGCAAACAATCCAATCATATAATATTTGTCAGAAACATGATCAACTAACTTTAGTTTTGAAATCATTGGGTTTCCAAGTATAAACAAAATAAAAATGGAAAAGGGGTATGTGTTTTTCACTGTGGAAAGGTCATGTTCATGTGTATGGTGTGCCTAACATTAGAGCCATTGAGTGCAACAAGTGGGGGACATGGCATGTTACACCAAACACAATTAGTGTTATTGGACCCCATGCACAACAAGAATGCTTTAGTTTCATTTTTCAGCACGCTTAAACCCCTCTCCCCCCAACCCCTTTCAATTCTTTTGCCATTTTGCTTTATTTCTCCATGAAGTGTCATCATCATTCCACGCCCAAGAATCATTTCTTCTTACCCTTTTCTTTGTTGGCAATGGCACATTCACAGGCAGAAGATGGGTGTCCATCAACAGTTTTTTCCCGTTCTCATTCAGGTTCAATACATACGTATATTTTTCTTCGTTTTTTTTTTCTCATTATGGTCATTGAATCTGACTGTGCCACTTACATCACTACAAGAGGCAGTCCTTTTGACAGGAACGGCATGTGTGAGTTCTGTTGAGGGAACATCTCCAACAAGCAGAACAAGTACTTTGCTGCTTTAACCTTTTCCATTTCCTTGATCTGGTGTGTACTACTACTACTACCCTTATATCCTTCTCATCTATTACCACTCTACTATCTTTACTCTTTACGGTTCATTCCATAGAAAAAGAGAAGGATTTGGCCTTGGTCTTTCCTTAGGAGAAAAACAAATATCAATGCTTTTTACCTTTTGGTGATGTAGTAGAGAATACCAGCAAAAGGGGTTCACCTTGACACATTGTTAGTGTTATAATCAAGTTTGTCAAATAAGTTTGGCCACAACGTCAAGGTTTTTAGGATCTGGTCACAATTGTGATAGCATCGACCACATTTGTCTGCTATTTCATGCTATATCAATGATTGTGACGAAACTGATCACAATTTCATGCAATATCAAGGACTGCAACAAAACTAGAACCGTTACATTGGCCACAATTTAAAGCCATTGGATATATTATCTTGGCTCCTTTGCCTCATGGACTCTGCTTTTGGTCTGATTTTGATGTTATTTTCCTGGGTGTTATTTACATTTCCGGGATCTGATGGTCAGAGTGTGAAATCAGCTCATATTCTTGACCTCATCATAAGAGATCACACGTTCAAGGCATTGGACAAGAACTTGAGGACAGCAATTCCAGAATCAGTGAACTTACCTGCAAATCTTTCAGGCATTGGAGTTGATGCTGTGAGGTTTAGATGTGGCAGTTTGAGAAGGTATGGTGCACAGTTGAAGGAATTCCATCTGGGTACCGGTGTAACTGTGCATCCATGTATTGAGAGGGTCATGTTGATCAGACAAAACATGGGGCACAATTGGTCTTCTATCTATTATGCTAACTATGATCTATCTGGGTACCAGCTTGTGTCTCCAATTGTGGGGCTCCTAGCTTACAATGCTGATGATGATGCAAACTCAAGCAACCCTTTCCAACTTGGGATTGTGGCTGGAGAAAGTCCGATGACAATTGACTTCACCAATGCCACAAAATTGAACAAGGAAGATGGGATCAAGCCCTTGTGTGCTAGTTTTGAAGGTGATGGAAGAATGACTCTAGCAAAAGCCAACCCTTCAACACCACTTGTTTGTGTTGCAAAGAGGAATGGTCATTTTGGTTTGGTTGTGGAGTCCCCACCAGATCAGTTCAGGAACAAGCCCATAAGTAGGTGGAAAGTGGCAGTTGGGAGTACCATTGGTGCAGCTTTGGGGGCTTTTCTCTTAGGCCTGCTTCTTGTGGCAATGCTTGTTAGGGTGAAGAAGAGATCAAGAATGGTGGAGATGGAGAGGAGGGCCTATGAAGAAGAAGCCCTTCAGGTGTCAATGGTTGGACATGTCAGAGCTCCTACTGCGCATGGAACTCGAACCACACCCATAATTGAGCATGAGTACAGACCTCATCCTCGTTGATAGTCTCATTGTGTTCCTCATCAATCAATTTTGTAACATTGTAAGATGACATTCAATCAAATATATCGTGGGCCAAAACTATGAAGAGTTCATCAATCAGTTTTGTAACTTTAAGATGACTTTCATTCAATTTCATTGTGCTGCTGATCAATCAGTTTGGTAAAATTAAAATGACATCTAACAGTATTTACCATTACCCAAAACTAAAATTTAATTTCTAGTTCCTTCAAGAATCTTTTGGTATCTATTCTTTTAATTCATAGGAATTAAACAGAGATCTCAGAAGATTTACAACAATTTATATACCCTTATAGATCATCTAAGCTCCCTCCCTCCAGTTTATAAGTTACCTTTATATACAGACAACTTTTTTATTCCTCAAAATTCGGTGCCTCCATGTGTTGATATTGAATGTTTTGCACTAAAGTTCACATATTTGAGATTGTTCAACATGTATTTAATAGTTCTATACTACTATCTGGTGATTGAAAACTAGTCATATAAGTAGAAGTCATACAATATCACCAAGAAAATCAGTTCCTGTTCCAGTAAATTGGAAAATACTCATAATAACAATCACATAGTATCGAGAATTAGTTTCTGATACAGTGAATTGAAAAATATCCATACCAATCAGATAGTATCTGGAAAGAGATTAGATTGTGATTCATTGAATTGGAAAATAAAAAAGAAAAAAAGGTGGTGTAGAGCAATGTTAAAAAAAGTAGCAGCTTTTTTGTCAGAAGTAATTGTGCACGAGAGTTGGTTGAAGGCAGAGACATGAAGGGGCTTTTTACGATAAATCGTGTATCTAAACACGATTTAAAGAAATCGTGCTATTTCTTCTTCTTCTTTTTTTCAAAATCGTGATGTACCACGATTTTTACTCTATTTTTAAATAGTTGAAAACATCTTTTTCAGAAGTACGTGGAACTTAGAGGAAGTGCATCAATACTAGCCAAATTAATATATTTTTATTTTTAAAATATTATATTAAATTCTGTCTTAGGTATCATAATTTAAGAAAAAAAATAAACTTGAGCTACCCAACCTAACTTAAAAAAAAATAAAAAAAAATTATTACATTTAAAATCATGCTATGATTTTAGTTTTAATTATATGTTAAAATTCATTTATTTTTTTAATTTTTTAAAATTTGATAGATATTTTTAACAAAACCGACATAAAGGATTACGATGTTGTTGCAAAGTCAAAAGAAGCCAATTTATGAGAACAAAACATCATCACCAGTACCATTCTGCAACAGATGAGTTTCGGCTACACCATCGTACAATTTATGACCATATTTGTTATTCTTAAGAAAAATTTATCTTGCTCAAATTAGATAAATGAGATAAATTATTTGAAAATACTTATATAATAAGGATTTGTTTTTTATATTTTAAAAACAATTTCAATGATTAATTTGGAAAAACTATTTCTAAAAATAAATTAAGGAAAAAAATTGTTTGTTAACATTGACTTAAAAATTCTTCAAACTAAAGATGACTTCAATGACTTTGAATAATTCAATTAAAGTTAAAAAAAATGAATAACTTTGTAATAAGGAAGGCAAATAATATAATAAAAATGAAGACGTAAATATTATTAATGAAAATAGAAATATTTTTATTAATTTTAATTTTTAGATTTAAAAAAATTAACGAAATAATTATTAAATAATTTTTTTATTTTTTAAAAATTAAAAACCAAAAATCAACCATTCAAATATTTTATTTATAATTAATTCAAACCTAATCCAATCTATAATACAATTTACTAAATTGATGAATTTTGTATATTTAACTTGAGATTTAATCCAATTTATTAACAAAAATTATTATTAAATTTATATGATTATTATATTAATTAAATATATTTTTTGAAATACTAAATAATGTAGTAATTTTGAAAGGAATAATTCCAAAAAAAATTAAAAGTGTTTTAAATTAAAAAAATATAATAAAATAATTTATTTTTAAAAATATGTAGTTCAATATTGATCAAATTTAATTTAATTTGATTGCATATATATATATATATATATATATATATATATATATACTATTTAATTTTTTTATTAGGTTAGGTTATGAGGTTTGTTAATCCTTATTTGGGATACATCCCTAAAAGTATTTAAATAAATTAGGTAAGATTGTGACTAAGAAAAAAATGTTATCCGCATTTAAGTCTACACCAATTTTATGGGTTCTTTTATATGCATGAGATATAATATTTTTTTATAGTTATCTTAAAATTTCATTATGAATTTTATTGTTAAGAACTTATAAATATTATGTTAATATCTAAAAATATTTTATTTCGAACTTTTATTTATTTACTTTTATGAATTTTATGCTTATGTAGATGTTATACATTCGAATATAGATCTTAACCTTTTTATTTTTTATATTTTGTTATTTACTTAGGAGAAATTTTTCTGAGGTGGAAAATGTTTCTTTCAAGATATTAGTTATTAAATCGGTATTATAAAATGTATGACCCATGTATTATTAAATATATAATTTTACATTACCAATATATTATAAAAATATCTTTATATATATATAACCAATTTAAATCACTGATGAAGTAGGTTCAATTTTCAACCATCCATTTTTTCAATTAAATCATACATATTTAGTTGATAAAATATAACATTGAGATGCGAATCATAGAAGAACACAAAAGAAACTAAGACGCGAACACATTCATACTTTGTTTGCATAATTAAGCATAACATGTTTTTGACACTGATTAAGAAGACTCCACTAAAAGACATACATTAACAGTTATTCTTCATCCTTAATGTCAAAGGAAAACAACCCTACTTTCACAATTCCAACACAGTAACCCTTTTAACCAGAACCCTTTGTCAAATACACTCCTATTGGAGTTTCAGTTTTGCAAACAATATTGAAAATTTTCAATATGGAAAATAATCAACCAGTAACTGTTCAATTCTAGCAATTGCTCAAAATTTTCAGCAGATGGCAAGATATTTGAAGCACGAATTGAAGTAGTTTGCCAAAATCAAGACCATAGGGACTATTTAGGACAAATAATGGAAGTTTAACTTGAGAAGACCAAAACCAATGGAGGAAATTTACAGAAGAGTGAAAGTTAAGGCAAGTAGTTTCTTTTTTTGTAACCTTTTTTTTTCTCCTAACTGTATGGCCAAAGGAGTTCCGGGTCTGGTGTTGTCAACAAAGGAGAGTCCAAAAAGTCAGGTTGGGAATTGTTTGCTTCCCATTCAAAGGGAGAATCTAATATTGATTTTGACAAATTGCCATGCCCTGGGGAAATATTGGACACTTCAGCATTCAAACTAAATCCACTGTCACCTCCAACATTTTGCAGCTGCTGCTGGTTTTTGCTTGCCATAGAAGGAACAGACATGTTGTTGCCAAAGATATCCTTGTCCAAACAAATCCTTCCATCAAAGAAATTATTATTGTTCACCTGTGTTAGAGATATTAAATGTTAGTTATAGATTAGCTAAGTTAGAAAGTCAGTTATATTCTTATGCAAACAAACCCTTCCATCAAAGAACTATTATTGTTCACTCGAGTCTGAACAGTATGCACCTGCTGGTTTTGGCCTGCAAGTGGAGGAACATTCATGCTGCTGCCAACACCTGTGGGTTGCTTCTGCTGCACATTGATGTTGTGCATCACGCCAGACCCCATTTCTCCAGCGTTGTCACTGATAATACCAAGAATCTGATTTTGATTCAGAGCTGGTGCTGGAGTGTGCCTAGGTTGACCAGCAGTGAAAGTTTGATTTTGATTCATAACTGGTTGAGCAATGTTGGTAGATTGACCAAGGGGCAGATTTACATTAGGATTGCCAAGCTGAGAAGGCACTAACCCTCCAACCCCAACCACTTGCACAGGATTGTTGTTTCTGTGTTGACATGTCAGCTGATGATTGTTCCTCATATTCCTGTCACTGAACCCAAGGCCAGTCTCGTGATAAGGGCACTCTATGCTATGACAGGAATAGTCCTCATGAGGAAATGTAATACCTTGAACAGCCCCAGCCTTTCTCTTCTCAGAAGCATGATCTAGTGGCATAACAATGCCATTGTTCATCATTGTAACCATATTATCATTATTGCTATTACCAATAGCAACATTGCTTGGTGGTGGTGGTGAGTTATATTGGCCCGCCAGAAAATCTCTGAGTCCACCATCAACCAAATTGCTTGTTGGTGTTGGTGGATCGAACTGCCCCACAAAGAAATCTCTAGCTCCACCATTAGCAACATTGGTGGTTGGTGGAGATTTACTTTGGCTCCCGAGAAGAATTCTAGTAGCATCAGTTGATTGGTTATTCTGGCCGCCAAGAAAGCTCCAAGAACCACCATTAGCAACATTGGTGGCTTGTGGTATGTTATTCTGCCCCCCAGGAAAATTTCTTGCAGCACTAAGGTCACTTTGTTGCCCCCCAAGGAAAGTTCTATCACCATTTGCAAGAGGAATGTTATTATTATAAGCAATATTAGTGGTTGGTGGTGGGTAGTTACCATTTTCCACCCCAAGAAAATTTCCAACATTATCATAACCAATAGTTGGTGGGGGAGTTTGGAACAAGTAAGGGTACAATCTTCTAGCAAGGGACTCCTCACGCTTCACAATACCACTCCAAATGGCAGTTTCTTTAGCAGTGAGCTTGTCCTGAAGGGTCCTAGACTGACGCACAATGTTGCTGATCTTTGCTATGTCAGGGGACATGTGCTTGATGACTGCAGTGAGCACACACATCTTCCACACCTTCTTCAGGTCATGGGGCTTCTTGTAGGGAGGAGGGCCTGGGTCCACTGTAAAGCCCATCTCAGCCCACCACCACTCCTGCCCAGTGGGCCACCAGGGAGGGGCAATACCCTTGTCCAAAGGGTACCTCCTCTGGGGAGGCTCACAGTTCTGCATCAGAGATGACAAGAGTGACCCAAGAGTTGTGTCTGGGAGATCACTCATCCTGTATGCTGTTGATGGCTCCCCATTGAATGCATCACCAATCATGTCTTCAAACCCAATTTCTTCATCGTACCTGGCGACAGGATCATCAAATATGTGATGTGATTCTTGAACACTATAAACATTCCAATCTATCTAATTCTATGGCAAGGAATACAAACATGCATATGTAGTGTTTTCTCTACTACAAGTCTACGAATTTTTTTACTATGAATACTTCTAACACATTTTATTATTGATTATAATTCACTGTAATTATAAGATTCAAATACACAACTATTTTTATCCAATGAGAAAGGTTTAGATAAAAGTGTACGTTATATTGTTAGTATTTCTCTTTTTATATTCTTAAATTTATTTAAAGCTTTTTTTTTTCTCAATTACTAATAATTTTAAATTATGAAAAGAGGATGTGTTTTAATATGTAATTTTGCAGTCATGGAAAGAGTATAAAATGATTTTTTATCATTTTTCTTTATTATATTATTTTTATAGAAAATTTTATGTTAATTAATAATTATAATTTTATATTTGTTTTTTCGATTATTTCAGTTCTTATATTTATTTTAATAACATTGTTTGTTAATTACCTATTTCATTACATGGTCTTCTCAAAAAAAAAAAAAAACTTTTACTTTTGCAAGTTTTAAATTCATTTTTCTATAACTCTCCTATCCTTTTTTCTAATAAGAAAACTAATTTTGAAATTCTCTTGTAAATTGTCCTAAAATAAATCTTCAAATTTTACTATAAATTTGAAAAAAATGTGATTAAATTCTGAAATTTGATGAAAATTCATAGAACTTGTTCTTAAATACATTTTTGTTCTGCATAATAATGGTTAATATTTCTAACATGTTTTTCACAAACATATTTACTAAGAAATTTTCTAATTGTTTTATTAACAGTAAACAATTATATAAAAGCCTTAAAATAAAAGTAACCTAAGACAGCCACAAATAAAAGAAAAAAAATACTAAAAGGTGTAATTAATATCCAAAAAAACATCATTAAAACATAAGCTCTGTCACTAATCATATAATGATATGAAGAAGATAAGATATTAAAGTGTAAAAAATGATGATAAAAGAAGTTAAACCTGAGCATAGCAGCAGGACCATTACGATCAAACTTGACCCTGTCCTTCCACCAACCTCTCAGATTATCAGAAGCTCCACTCATTGGCTTCCCCTTCTCAGGAACGATGCCATAAACGAACCCACGAACGCCACAAACCTCCATCATCTTCAGCATGTTCTTCAGCACTGTGTCTTGTGCACGACTCAACGCTTTCTTCTTCATCATCTCCAACGTTTCTCCTTTCTCCTTCTCCCTCTTCTTTTCCTTAAGCTTCCTCAACATCATGCGATCTCTCCACATCCTTGTCTCCAGTTCCTCGATCGTTATCTCTTCTTCTTCCTCCTCCTCCTCACTCCCTTCTCCCACCCTCATTTCTTCTTCCACGTTTCTCATCAAAGCGTCGCAGTCATAATCAGCACCACTGTCAACACCACTCATTTTGTAGTCATCCATAGAATCCATTGTTGTGCCTCTCTTTTGTTTCACTACAAAGTATAAAGCTTTTTCAATGTTTGGTCAACCATACCATGCATTGAGAAACATACGTGAAACTCTGATACTCATTCTGAAGGAAAAGAAATGTTTTAACCCCAGAAAATCATCATGCAAAGAAAAATAACGTGGATAAACTCTTCGAAAGTGTGAAGCTTAGTTTTAAAATTCACACCGATAATTGACCTAATTTTATTACCGGTTTAATGATGTGAATAATAACATGTTCGATTATCAGTTCCGATTGAACCGTTTCGAACCGGTTTATAGAAAACTGAACTGTGGTGAAGATATATGGAAGAGTAAAAGCAAAAGAAAAATGAATTTGAGCATAAATTTTGAGAAATCTTACGAAGAAAACAAGTTTTTTTTTTTTTCTAAAAAAGAGTTAGTGAAAAATAGATTTAGTTGTATGAGTTAAATATTTGATTTTCGAATTATAAAACTTAAAAAAAAAAACTGGAAGTGATGTTATATGTGATATTCACCCAATGATAAATTAAAAGAAAAAAAAGTTAATATTCATGCACTTTTAACCAAAAATATTTTAATGAAAAATGGTAATAAATCTGATTGTTAAGGTAATTGTTGCAAAAATTGATGAAATTTATTTTATACGAAAATGTTATTAAAATTGTTATATAATTTTATTATAAATGAATCTAGGTCTATATATATATATATATATATATATATATATATATATATATATATATATATATATATATATATATATATATATATATATATATATATATATATATATATAAACATGTTTTATGCAAATTTACAGTAAATTAAACAGTGTAAGAAAATATGTATGGAGTTAATCAAATTTAATTGCTTTAAACATAAAACATATCGTGACTTGTTTATTTTTCAAAAGAGAGGAGTAAACAAAAAAAAATAAAATAAAATAAAAACACAAAACGCTAGAATAAAAGAAAAATAAATAAATAAATAAATCGTAATTACATAACACTAGTTAAATATTTGCAAAAAAAAAAAAAAAGGAAACAAAAGGCATAAAAAATGTTCTTAAAAAAAGATGGTAAATGAAAAAAAAAAATTACTCTTAACATTTTAACACCACAGACTCAGTTTCTGGTGTTCTTGATTTAACATTTCCGATATGGTTTTTCTCATCTGAAGTATGATTTAAAAAGACAGACATATAAACAGTAAAAACATCTAAAAGATTTTATTCAATATTCGATAAAAAAAATGCAGCAAAAAGAAATATTATTTAAGGAGTAATAGATGGATGTGTTGGATGCGATTATAATACGTAAAAATAAAGAAGTTGAACATAATATAATACCAACAAGATTCATAATTCAATGTTTTAAAGTTTTAAATTAAGAATAGTATTAATCTTTGGATTTGAATCTTTAGTCTTATTGGGACTTGAATGAAAAGTGTTTGTATTTTTTTTCTTAAAATTTTTTTCTTTTCACATATCAAACATATATATCTCAACTTCTAGAAATTTGTGTAGCAAATCATGTAAAAAAAAATGAAAAAAATTAGTGTAATGAAACACAAATTATATATGCAAAGAAAAAATGTATGAAATATATTTGTCAATAGCAAAACAATTTTGTGATTCTTCATGTCAACTTGAAACTAATCAAGTAAAAAAAAAATAGTAAATGGAAATGGAAGATGATGAAATAAATTAAGCAAAAATGATGAAAAAAAAAAAGATTGAATCATACCAAAAGCCCTTGTAGGAGACAAGAAGGAGAACAAAGGGTTGGGAGAAAGGAAGAATTAATAAAGAGGGCCACAAAGGAAAGTGAGATAATTGAGAGAAAAAAAAAATGGCATTGATTAATTGTCACAAGCACACTAAGTCTTATATAGAAAAAAACAAAACAATTATGGAAACATAATCTTTAACCATGGTTGAAATAAAGGTGTTAAGAAAATTGTATAGTGAAATTTATTTTGATTGTAAGAACAAGATGATGAAAGGCCTCCACAAAACAAATAAAATATTTATTTTATGAATGATATTTTTACTTAGAGAACATCTATTGTTTGGAAGAAAATTTGTTCAAATTTGATACTAAAGATTAATACACACTAATTTATTTATTTATTTTCTAAATAATTTTACATTTCATCTGTCATATAAAATGATAGGACACCTGTCCTTAAAAGATTAATTATGGTACTATTTTAGTAAAAAAAAAAACAAAATTTAAATAAAGGATTGTGTCATTAATCTTAGAAAAAAAAACTTATAACTTTCTTTTTTTTATTCTATTGTTATATTTACTATAAGAGAATTCAACTTAATTATTTTACAATTTTGCAACCAAGGAAATCTTGAGTTTATTTCCTATATTTGTTCAATTAGTAACCATTTTTAAACAACTACCATTCATTAAGGTTTTTTATATACCTACATTTTAAACATTAATTATTTTCTATGAATTCAATGTATTTATTAAAATAAATAATAAAGTAAGGAATATATGTATATTTAATATTAATTAGGCTGAAATATAATTAGTCCTATAAAATGAGTGGTTTTAGTATAAAGTGAACAAAATTTTCTTTTAGTTTCTATAAAATATATTTTTTAGTTTTAATCCCTCTAAAATCTGAAATCACAATTTTGGTCCTAAAATTTATTTTAAGATAAAAAAAACATTTAGTTTAACAATCTAAATTACTTATTTTTAGGTATTGGATGTTGATAATTAATAATAATACAGATAAAAAAATTCAACATTTTAAGGGATAAAAATCATATAAAAAATAATAATTTATTCTCACTCTCATTTTCACTTATCTAAATAAGTTAATTTTCAATGTTTATCCATTAAATTAACGCATCTTTTGCAATTGTAGGATTATTATTGCTACATTAATATTAATCTATTTTCCTACATATATTTTAAATATTTAAAAAAATTTATTAATGTGAGGCCATTGAGATAGGAAATGTTTAATGACGTGACATAGTGAGTTAACTTGGATTTAGTTTTTTTTTTTAATTTGATTTAAGTTAATTGGGACAAATATTTTTTTATTAGATAGCTAATTAAATATTATCTTATATTTATGAATTTATTCATTATTTGAATAGTAAATATTAAAATATTTGTTTAATAGTGTATAACGAGTTAAAATTGATTTTGATTTCATTAAAATTGAAAATTAGTTTTTTAGTCTAAAATTAAAAATTATCACATTTTATTCCTAGCTAGTATTATATCACATTAATTAACTATGTCAAACAAAAGGTTAAATAATCATTCCAACTAACGTATATTAGTCCATGACATAATATCGGAATTTGTTACCTCAAATAAAATATTAAAATATATAAAATAAATATTATTTATTTATCTTAAAATAATATTAAAAACTAAATTTTGAAAAAAAATTAAAAAAGTATTTTAGACATAAAAATAAAAAAGAGTAATTTCAAATTTTATAAATGAAAAATAAATAATTTTTTGAAAGAAACTAAAATCAAAATTTACTAATTTTAAATTGATTTAAAATATATTTAAATACTAATTACTAAGTATTAATTTTAAGTATTAATTTTAAGTATTAATTGTTAATTATCATCAATTATTAATTAAATACTAAATTATTGAATATTAAATGGTCAATATTTTATTATCAAATATTCGATGTTAAAATTAAAAAACACAGAATAATATTTATGGTAAATATTGAATATTAGTAAATATAATATTCAACCTTCAATCAAATAAAAAACATTTAATAATAATTATATTATTAAATAGAAATAAATTTAAGTTAATAAATATACATTGATAATATAAATTAATAAACTTAATTACATATTTTATCATTTTCAAATACTGACATTTAGTTAATGTAATATTACAAAATAATTAAAAAGTTAATACTTAACTTTCTTTTAAATATTTTTTTCACCATTATTAAATATATATGTTTCGTACAATTTTTTTATTCTAAATTTATATAATATTATTTACTTCTTTAATTACATAAGAGACACGTGGGTTTTTTCAAACAAGAGTTTGAGTCTCTAATTACAAAATCATCATAATCTTCTTCTTTAATTTCTGCCTAATATTCTCGGAGATTTTTATTCCAAGTTGTTTATTTCGTGAGACTTCTACATTGCATGGAAAATCTTGCATAGTAGTTTGTGTTCTAGTTTGAAGGAATTTTTTCTCTCTTGTTTTGATATACATTAATTCATATTCAAATAGATCAAATGCATATGATATATTCAAGATGCAAAACATAATTTCTTTGAAACATTCGTTTCAATCTCAAAAGACTTAAATTTAAATATAATACAAATAAAACATTTAAAATATATTTAATTTTTAGTGCGATGGGAATGGAGTATTGAACAGTATCGCACCGGATGATCCATAGGATAGGTTCACAAAGATCTCAACCGGGTTCACAGAATAGTTCAAAAACTCCCCCGAAGGAATTATCAGGGTTAAACATTGAAGCTGAGATTATCTTATATCTCATGGTCTCATGTAAAAAGTAAAAATAACGGGTTCTAGCATAATGGAGAATATCAGCTGATGTAGTTGGGTTTAAACTAGGTGGATAGACTTTGATGGTTTTGGCTTTGTTGGAGAGAGGTTTGGCCATGAAGATAAGGGGAAGACTATGAGTGTCGACTATTAATTGGACAGTCTTTTTGGGTTTGGACAAAAAGTCAGGGACTGTGTTTAGATTTCCTTTAATGTGCTTAACAGTAAAATCATACCTGGAAAACCAGTCTATTAGCCGGAGAATCTGAGGATTAGGAGTCATCTTGCTCTTGAACTCTAAGATCTTCGGGAATGAAAAGTTTTCCATTTGTACCTCAAAGTGATATCCTTTAAGGTGGAAGTCAAACTTTTTTATTCCATTCTTGACAGCTAAGGCTTCTTTGAATGTGGTGTGGTAATGTTTCTCGGTATCCTTGAATTGTCCGCTTGTATGGC